CTTTAAAGGAGTCTTAAAGTAAGTAGAAGTGTAAACAGTATGAATTCTAGTTCAAAAAATTCCCAAAAACTGGATTTTAACAACTATAAATGAAATCTGACATATTTTATCATTTTCAAGAGTTAAAAACAGCATCTTTCCTTTCAAATTTTAAAGACAGCACCTTTTAAAACTCCCATCTAAATGATAGCATAGAAGAACTAACTGCAAACATACAGATAGCTTAAAAACATTAGACAAGCATAGAATTTACTACTATGTATTTGGATGACTATATCAATATTTTTTAAAGTACCTTAAAATTTATTATTATTAAACATGAATTTTCTGTTTTAAGAGACTCACTATGAAACCTGCTAAAGTTGATGTTTCTGCTCAAAGTGACTGTCTTAAGTTATTCAACAAACAATTGGCATTTTAAAAATATGCCTAGAAATTAAGTCAGTCTATCTGCGCCTATTTCCCAGCCTCATTCTTGTACAGTTATTACTAGCGTCCAGGCCCCTACAGTTTATTCAAAATTAACAGCATTATTTCATTATTTCCCAGAGAACACATATACATATGTTCATACACACACACACAGAGAGAGAGAGAGAGAGAGAGAGAGAGAGAGAGAGAGAGAGAGAGAGAGAGAGAGAGAAAGATAACCATCTAGCGAACATACCAACAGACTGATCAAACATTTTGATGGGCTGGTGTCCATGCTAAATTGTTAATGATTTTACTGTTACCTCTACTCTACATATAACCACAAAGATAGCTCTTTGATTTTTCACATCTCTACCTAAACTATCGCAAGAAATCTTATTTGATCATAATATTTAAGTCAAGCCAGGCATGGTAATGAGGTGGAGATACAGGACCAGAAGTTTAAGTTCATTCTCAGCCACAGTGTGAGTTCAAGGACAGCATGTATCAAATCGCCAAAAATTAAATTGTAAATGTTTTTAAAATGTAAAACAGTAGTTATTGCTTTCCATATACCACAGAGTGCACAGCATCTAACCATACCCTCCCCACATTAACACAGCCACTCTGTTACCGCCTTACTCTTTGGTTTTGGAACATTTACTCATGACAGGTCAGAATGCTGCTGAGCATAGAGTGCACAGTAAGTAAATATCTACTAAATAATTGTGGAACCATGAGCATTTTCCACTATTCTCTTTATTCAAATGTAAAATTACCTTAAAAACTACCCAGAGGATCCTAATAAATTAAGGAGCGTCGGCACAGATTTAGGGGAAAGCAGGTCTCCCTGCTTTCACAAAAAAACTAACCAAGAAAACTCAATATATAAAAAACTGTGTCGTAGCCACTATAAAAACATAACCTTAGACAGCAGCCCTGGGAGACACAGCTGTCCGAGTCACCTGAAACAGCGCAGCGCCTCCCCTGGAGCCTCCCTCTGCTCTCAGGATGCTCTCTGATTTCACTGGTCCCTCGTGCTGCTGCCACAGCCTCTCTTCTGGAGATGAGTTGGTTCTCTCAGCCATGGAGAAAGGCACTACTTTATCAGCACTATCTGCCTGTGAGATTTTGGCAATCCACACTAAAGTCTGGTACACAGCCAGTTATCAGATTCTGCCAGAAGGCAAGCGCAGCCTAAGGCTCAAGAAGCGGCTCTGCCTGGCTGACTGGTTATTCATGAACACTTGAGCTTTGAGACCATCCAGACAGTTTCTTCTATAAAAGCTATATTGGAGAAAAACTAGCTTTACCCAATATAATAACTTCTGAAGTGCCATTTAAATGCAAAATTAGGTGAATTTTTACTTATATTTTCTCAAATTCTACATTATATCTCAAAATTCAGCTCTGCTCAGTATTAGTTTCCTGATTGCCTTTTATACAGACATATAGTAGTGAATATGTGGCTGGCTCTTTCCAATTTAGCATTATGTCAAATTCACTTTCCTTGACTCCACACTCACACTCCTTAAAATAAACAGTTCTTCTAGCTTCTATTAAAGTCTGCGCTCTAATCCATGGTTAACAACACGGATTCAATCCCCAACACTGCCTCTGTCTGCTGTGTTATCCCACAGGTCCTTTGCCATGTAAAGCAATAGCCGCCCACTCATCATCCTCTCTGATGTTAAAAGCAACAACAACATTGAATAGAGCTAATGACAAAACAGATCCCATAGCAACACGGGAGGGGTACCGAAGATAATCCATATGGAGGGTTAGCCAAGGGCTAGGGCTGTGCCTCCAGGGCTGGGTGCCTGCTAGGTTCTCAGGAGGCCCTGCACTGGATCCCAAGCAAAGGAAGGGAAGAGGATAAAGGTGGAGGTGTTACTCAGAAGTCCTAGGAACTAACCGATGGAGTCAATCCTCTGACATTCACTGGGAGCTTACTCTGGTCTAGCACTCTTCCAGTACAAGGGGGACAAGGATCCTAAGTCAAACACAGTTTTGGCCTTCTAAAACTTACACTGCACTTGAGGGAGAGAAAATAATTAGAATGCATGATGTCTAGGAAGGTGCATATACATAACCATTAGAAGGTAACCATGGAGAAATAAGAAAAGGAGGAGGGAACGCCCGACGAGAATACACTATTTATACAAGACAGAGAAGGGCACTTGGATGAAGTGCTTCGTGAGACGCAGCTAAACTAAGAAAGAAGAAGCCATGGAAGCCCACTGGGTTTGCTGCTTTAAGATGACAAATACGGGTGATCAGATGGTCCTACTTACAACAATACTTCCCCTGTCCTAGACTCCTCCATGGGCTCTGTGAGGCAATGCAGGAAAACAGTCAGCAGGTGAGGAGCAGATGGGTAATGCACCCAGTCAATAACAGCATTATTAAGTGGTAAAACTCAAGCAATTCTCCTATTCTAGTTGTCTAGTTTCCCTGCACTTGTGAGTGCAAAGAATAAAGATTAAAACATACTTTAGTCACTGTAGTCATTACAGTAATAAAATTATATTTTCATGAATAGCAGAAAAATACATGGAAAACAAAAATTGCACCTAAACAAAATAATGCTCTCTATATAGGCTAAAAATAAAGTCTAGAGAGATGAAAATTATATATTTTCTATCTAATTTTATATGGCATATTATATGGTCAAATATATTAACTTCTTACACAATTTAAATCAAGAAATAGATCCAGTAATAAGAATACAAATAACTTCTCAAAGGAAAATATATGGTGATAACACAACCATAACAAAATCCATATCAATTTCTTCTCCACTCATAACTGAAAATTGTCTTTCAGAACTCTATATTACAATTATTTTTAAAAAAGAGTAACATGATACTGTGAACCAAGGGTATAGCAATGTTTACAATAAACAGATACTAATGTTCATATTTCAAATACTAGGCCTTTTTATCAGGCTAATAGGTAGATAAGTTTTAAGTTTTTATCTCATAAAACAATCATTTATAGCTCTTTAACCTTCTACAGCTTCCAGCATTCACTTATTTGCATAGCTAGTGCTAGAAAATTATGGGATAATCAACTCCACAGTATTATATATCTGACAGAAAAATAATAATTGACCATGTAATAGTCTAGAGAATCTAATCCATTACCTAAGTTCATTTCGTGGAAATTTTTATGCAGTGAGGGATGTAATTTTATTTTAAATTCTATATCCCTACTCAGGTGCAGGTCTGCAAGCTAATTTCTATCATGGATTTGATCTATTGTGGACCTGACTGAGCCTACAGATTGTGCAAATATTTGGCTGGCTTGTGAAGCCAAGCATCAAGATATGTATGAACAGTTTATTTTGTATTAGCCTAACATGGGTAAATGTGTGTTTTAAATTGAGGTTGATTCATAATAGGAGACACTGGGACTGAAGTTCACACTGCTAATTAAGAACACAAAACTCTTGTCATCTAACTGCAGAAGCTAGTGTTGAAGACGTTAAAGGTAACCTCGGGCTTGTGGCTTCTGGGAAGTCGGGTGGAAGGAGGGAAGAACGAACTGAAGTTAGATGTGATGAGATGAATTTGAAGTAAACGTTGGGGAATACACTGTAGGGGCAATACTGCGTTAGAACTGTATTTACTTTTTTGAATGTATTAATGGTAAAGTCCTGAGACTGATCACTCTAAACAGACATTATTTTCCAGACTGACAAGGGAAAACACAGTAACTTTAAAATTTTTCCAATTATAACAGCATTCTTAGGACTGTCACTTTGAATTAAAAGCTGCTCATAGTCATATATATATTATATATTTATACACACATACATACATACATACATATAATGGATACATGTCACCTACCAATTTTGATGTCTATCCCATTTTGACACTGTTCTTCAAGTCACACAGTCCTCAAAGGAAAGGGCTCCTGCCATACTCAACCCCATTCCCCAACACTCCCAGTGCTGAGTGGCTCAAGGGGACCACTGCTGTTGTGGTCCAGGTGCCTCAGGTGCTGGCTGGAACATGCCGACATTTCTCATGCCCATTCCTATCTCACACGTCTCGGAGCGTATCAAAGAACTGTGTGTTAGATCTTAGGGGTCAAAATGACCTAAAGCAACCTTTGACCTGGCTGCCTGGGAAGGCATGGTTTCTGAGAAGAGCAGCACAGCTTCAAACTGTCCCAAACTTGCGCTGCATTGTAAATCTCATCCTCTAACCTCAAATTTGGACTAAACTCCTAATTGCTAGACGTGTTCTTTCATGTGTTCATCTTCAAATCTTTCGCTAGAACCTTTCAAAGCACGAATCTTACATCTTTCAAGATGAATTGGAAAATAAAGAAATGACACCATTATATATCCTAGCAAATACTGAGCAGAAAGGCAATGCATCTTAATAAAACTAAAGCAGGTCTGTACTCCAGCTATGCCAGGAGTTAGTGGTATTCACAGAAGTGATTTATGCTGACTTAACACATAACTTAAAAACTTTCTTCACTGTGAAAAGCACTAATGAGTATTCTTTAAAAACACACACACCAAAAAAAAAAAACCAAAAAAACAAACAAACAAAAAATTGAGTTCAACATACCTTAGGAATAGGATTGAGAAGAACCACCCCAGACTTCTTGGTGATGACTTGTTTTGTTGAGAAGTGGTGATCTATAAGCTGAGGGATATTTGAAAACCCAGTGCCCTCAAATCGATACAGATTCTAGAGGGAGAACAACAAAGCAGAATTATTAGGAAGCCATTGTTTCAGAAAAAACATCATCTTTATCCATGAGTTAAGTTCTACTTAAGGAGAGCTGTCAGTATACAGCAACATAAGCATATTTAACAATGCGCAACCACACATTTGTTAGATAGTAAAAATTAAAAATAGACAGAAAAATGAAACTCTAGTCCACTGCCAAATCTTTTGACAGAAAAATTTTCAAAATACATATAACTCACATTATTATTATAGTATGAAGAGAAGATAACAGAATTGCATTTCACTAAAACGGTGACCAAGCAAACAAGCAGTTCACTCAAGTTTAGACATAAGGAAGATGTTAGCATGTTTCTCCATGGATGCTCCATTCAATAAACGTTCAGTACCAAAAATACTGTCCAAAGTTTGAGGAAGCCTGATATAACAATAAATAACTTAATACCTAAAATCATTTTATTTGCTAATATAATAGGTTTTTCTACAACAGGACTCCAATGTAGTATTGGCCAATAAATAAAGATTCAAACATCATTCGCACAAGAAATGAAGATAAAGAAATAAAGAGTATCAGTGCCAATGCCTTAGAGATCAGCAGGCTCAGAGCTTAACACCTTTTTAGAAGAATTATTTTGTTATTTGAAATGTATGTGCCATGTTAGCACAGCCATATGTGTGGATGTCCACGGAGGCCAGAACTGGCTAGATTTACAGGCAGTTGGGAGCCTAATTGAACTCTGTCCTCCACACTTTAATTCCAGCACTTGGGATGTAGAAGCAAACAGATCTCTGTGAGTTCGAGGCCAGCCTGGTCTACAAGAGCTAATTCCAGGACAGGCTCCAAAGTTGTCCTGGCTCAAAAAAAAAAAAAAAAAAAAAAAAAAAAAAAAAAAAAAGCATATTCTCTTAATGGCTGAGCCATCTCTCCAGCCTCAGATCTTAGCATGGTTCACATTTCCTGTCAGTAGGTAAGAACATTTTTCTCACACTCTGTCATGTTATTCCTGGATTTCCTATTTAAGTAGACCAGTAGTTAGGTATAAGAATTGACAGCAGTAAATACAGAAGGAATGCAGTAGCCACACTTTTCAATGCCAGACGACTGTGACACAAAGTGCTAGAAGCTTCTGTGTGCTTCTTCCTTGGGCTTAACTGAACAGATAGGAAGTATGCAGATATAGATGTAAAATAAGCATTTTAAGATAACTATTAAGAAATCGAACTTTCTAATCTCATAAAAACCGGACAGGAGAAGCAGGAGTGACCGCTACCGGCTGAGAAAGAGTGTGTGAGAAACAACAGGAAGCTGGATAAAACAGACTAACCTCCCATGGAAAGAGAGTTTCGATCTGCACAGAGCAGTCGGGAGGTATGTACATGGACTATCACGGAGGTGCAGCATGCACTAATGACATCAAACCCAACAACATTCCCGACAAATAAACGATTTCTACATCTTCCTCTTCCAATTTACTCTTAACACAGCAACTAGGGCACGTTGTCCCTAAGGATCTCTCCTTTGCTTTGCTTAAAAGTCTCTCTTCCCTCCACATAAGGACAAAGACGGATGCTACTCTGAGCTCACCACTGTCTCTCTGCTTACCTCTCACCACTCTTCCTTGGATCATTAGTCTCCAGGCCCTGTAATTACCTTCTTGCTCTAAAATATGATATGCACTCCTTCCTCAGAGTGGTTTGCTACATGAATTAATTTATCAGACAGCCAGCCCCACAGGTAATATCTCCTTTCCTGGCTTCTCTGCCAGGCTTTCATCAAATTATCTTTTCTGTGACGTTAACTCTAGCCACCTACGCAATATACAATCTCCACTTTCACCTCCTAATTTATCACCTCCTTTGCCTTATTGACATTTTCTCCCTAGAATGTATGACTATAATCCTTTGACCCTATCATCACATATATTTTATTTATTCTTAAAGGTATGTGTGTACCCACAAAGAACAGAAAAGGGTGCTGGTTTCCCACAAGCTGCAGTTACAGGTGGCTGTGAGACATTTAGCACGGATGCTGAGGGACTCCAACTAGGGTCCTCTGGACTACCCCTCCAGCCCCAGTTTAACTTGCGTTTTTTATTATCTGTTTCCCTTCTAGAACGCAGGGATATTAGGCAACAAATCTGTTCACCTTCTGCTCAGTGTGATAGCCCTATGCTCCATATACGGCATGACGTGTAGAAATAAATATATAGGAATGACATGAAATGACTACGTGCTGTAAAGGAGACAAAGTAGATAGCTTACAAATGGACAAAGGAAACTTCACACACTCATGAGCATGAGATATCAAAGTATAATGTTTAATAATAAGTACTAAATTGAAGCCCATACAGAATGAAGCTTCAAATCTACCCTGATATAAACTTCAGAGTACTTATTGCCCTATCCTAATGATGGCTGCATGATTACTATATAATGGGAAAAAAAAAATCCAACTATACAGGATAAGTCATCAATTCAGAATTGTTATGTAAAAAACATGTTGGCTTTTTATTGCACATGAAGACTCACAGCATGAATTTAAAACGGGGCTTAGAGCCTGGAGACTGCAATAATAAAGTTAAGTAATGCAGAGATTTAATCACCTCAAAGTGAACTTGATCAATATCTAATCTCTTTCCATTTCCTAATTTAAAAACATATGCTACTGGCCAAAGTTTCTCCATATCTGACTACAATGGGATACTTTCATCCACAGCTGTGCCAGGAAACAGGGTGCTCAGGAGGCAGCAAAGCCATCACTTGAAACTGCTCATTTCGTTATGGTTAGCACATAAAAAGTCTTCTATTTTGACATGTATATTTATATAAGGCATTGTTGTCAATTATGTTCTACCAACTATGCCATGGAAACCAGGACTTATTCCTATTTCAAATAATAACTGTGGACCACTGGACCTGTTGATGGACCGCTCCCCTTCTGCTCTCCCTACTCTTCCCAACTTCTGTAGTGACCACTCAACGCTGGGCCCCCACACAGCCAGCGTCTTCCACTTGGGTTCTTTCTCAAGACAATATGATTCCAGCATACCCTCACTGTGAGCTATGACTGGATTTCAAACTTTTTGTGGCTGAATAGTATGCCGTGGTGCACACTCAATACCGCTTTCTTTTTACCCAGGTACGGGACATTTAGGGCGACATTGACTATTCTTAATAGTGTAGGGGAAACAATGGAAATAGATCTTTTTAACATGTTCATCTCAACTAGCAATGTGATCCAAGGAAGAGGGCTTCTGGATCATGTCATTCTGTGCTCAGATTTTTGAGGAAGCTTCACAATGACCTTTATAACAGCTATGCTAATTAACATTTCAAACACATGAAGACCATTTTCCCCCTTCATTTCCTCACAGTTTTTACTCTTGGTTTGTCTTCTGAAAACAGACATTTTCACAAGAGCAACATGCTGTCTTGGTGGTTTTAATTTATATGATTAGACATGTTGAACATCTTCCATGAATGACTGTTGCCATTTGTACTTCCTCTTCTAAGACAGAAATGTCACTGTGGAAGGGTGTTCACACCCTTGGACAAGGAGCTACAGACAATGGGTGATGGTTGAGAGGGAGACCAGCCCCTCCCGGGGATGAGCCCTCTATATGGCTGTCCAATACAAAGTGGTCAGGCCCAAACCACATACACATAAACAACAAGAAGACTTGGCAAGCTGTTTTTATAGATTGCATATGCAAGTGTGTGTATGCATGCGTGCATGCATTTATCAGTTTGAGAAGGAGATGGAGGGAAAAGACTTGGGAGGATCTGGAGGAAAGAAGGGGAAGGGAGAAAGTGATGCAATTATATTCTTTTTTTTTTTTTTTTTTTTTTTTGAGACAGGGTTTCTCTGTGGCTTTGGAGCCTGTCCTGGAACTTGTTTTTTTTTCTTTAGACCAGGCTGGTCTCGAACTCACAGAGATCCGCCTGCCTCTGCCTCCCGAGTGCTGGGATTAAAGGCGTGCGACACCATCGCCCGGCTGATGCAATTATATTCTTAACAAATTTTATAAAACATAGAAAATGGCTTAAAAGTCTATTCAGACCTTTCTTCTTTTTAAATTGGTTTGTTCGGTTTTGTGCTATTGGCGTACTTGAATTCCTTACACATTGTGGGAATAACCTCTTCAGCTGTATAGTTTGAACATGCTGTCTTGATTCTGTTAATCTGCCTCTTTACTCTGTTGATGGCTTCCTTTTCGTGCAGAAGTTTTGCTAGTTTGACATAAACACAGCAAACAATTTTTTTTTTTGTAGTCTGTATTTGGGGACATATCAAAACACCACTTCCCAGGCCAGTATCTTAAAGCATTTCTCCTGTTCTCTTCTAGCAGCTTCAGAAGTTATGATTTTATGTATAAGCCTTAATAGATTTGATATTTGTTACTGTAAGAAAGAGCAGTTTCATTCTTATGCATATGGGCATCTAATTTTCCTAACACCACTTACCTAACATAGCCATGGTGCATACTTGGCCCCAACAGAAATCAGCTGGTCACAGTGTGTGGGTTGGTTTCTGCCTCTCTATTCTGCTCACTGGAATATAGTTTTTGTTTCAAGACAGGGTAGCTTCTCTGTAGCTTCTTGAAGCCTGTCCTGGAACTTGCTCTGTAGACCAGGCTGGTCTCGAACTCACAGAGATCTGCCTGGCTCTGCCTCCCAAGTCCTAGGATTAAAAGCATGCGCCACTACTGTCCAGCTGGTTCTTTCTGTTTTTAATGTCACTTTGATGACCACAACTTAAACGTACATTTTTAGGTCTGGTTATGTGATGCCTCCAGCTTCTTTTTGCCCAAGACTGTTTTGGCTATCCAGGTTTATCTATAGTATCTTATGCACTTTGAGATTATTCATCATAATTCTTTACTGATGAGTCTGTGTATCATATGGGGACATTTTAGCCATACTGATCTCCTCATGCATATAGGATATCTATGTATATATCTGTATGTTTTTCAGTATCTTTCATACATGTTTTAAATTTTTCTTTTCCTTACACTTGTCTGTTAAATTTGTGGTGAGTGTTTATGGTTGTTCGAAGTGGAACTGTTATTTTCACTTTTTGGGGGATAGGTAGGTTTTCTCAGCATATAGAAATATGATCACCACTGAGCCTTTCAGCTAAGATCACGTGCATGCAGAAATACAAATGTGTTTGGGGTGCCGATTTGGATACTCAATTTTATAGAACTTATTAGTTCCAACAGGGTTTTTTTTTTTTTAAATGTCTTTTAGAAATCTCGATACATGAAATCAGGTCATTTTTTAACAAGGGCAAATTGCTTTTTTGCTTTGTTATTCTGGATTTCCTTTTTCTCTTGCCAATTGTTCTGGCAAGGGCTTTCCATCCTATGTTGACAAAAGGCAATGACAATGGGCAACCTTGTCTTGTTCCAGATGTTAGAAGGAAGCTCTCCATGACTTCTCCACTTGGTATGGCATTAGCTGTGGGTTTGCCATAATCACCTTCCCTGGGCTGCAGTTATTCTTTCCACCCTGAACTTTGTAGGGTATTATACCATGGATCAATTTTGAATTTTGTAAAATGCTTTTAGTGTCTACTTAAATTCCGCTCCCTATGTTTTTGCATTTGACTCTGTTGATACATCAGCTATTTTACACTATAGCATTCCTGCATCATTTGATCACAGTGAATGATCTTTTCCAATGTGCCATGAAATGCAGTTTGCCAGCATTTTATTTGACATTTTATGTCTATGTTCATAAGTGGTACTGGTCTATAAATTTATTCTGAGATAGTTTCTTATCTAGTATAGGCATGTGTAAGTTTTTAAGGATTCTTTTTCAATTTTTTAAATACTCTGGGAAAACTGGCACTAGTCCTTTAAATATTGGTAGATTTTATAGGAAAGCCTCAAGTGTTGGGTTTTTCTTTGATTAATTTGAAAAAGTGATTCAACGGCAATTTTACTAATAAATTTTTATTGTCATTTTAGTAAATGTAATCATTTATTACTGATTCAATCTCAGGGCTCATAAAGGCTGAGACAGAAAAATTCCACGTTCCTGGCTAGCCACGGTTACACAGTAAGACTCTGTCTCAAACAACTGGGGGTGGGGGGGATTATGCATTATTTAAATTTGGTAACCTACATAGCACAGAATTTATCTGGTCTTCTAGATTTTCTTTTTATTCACGTATGGGGGAAGGGCATGGGTCTATGTGAGGCAGAGAACAATTTTCAGGACACCGTGAGTCCTGAAACAGGCTCGGTGGCAATGCCTTTACCAGCTGAGCAATCTCACCAACGCTGATATTTTCCCCATTTTTATACTTGTTCACAGTCCTTTCAGATGATCCTGTGTTTGTTGGTAATGTCGGTTGCAATGCCTTACACTCATCTCTGACACCGACTACTGTTCTTCACTTAGCTAAAGGCTTTTTAAGTCTATCTTTTCCAAAAGCCAACATATTCCATTTGTCCTTGCATTTCCCAAGTATTCTATTTATCCCTGCTCCGATGTTTAACATTGCCTTATACTGATTTGGTTCTTGGTTTTCTAGTTCCTTAGGAAGCACCAAAGGTCTCCAGCTAAAGTCCTGCTGCTGTTTAATGAATGTTGGTGCTGGTTGCTAAGAATTTCCCTTTGACAATGGTGTTTGCCATAGTCTGTAAGTTTTATTGTAATGTATTTCCATTTGCCTCAAGAATCTTATACTTCTCATTTAATGTCTTCAGTGGCTTGTTTCCTCAAGACAGTGTCTGACTTCCAAGTATCTAATGCTGCTTCTAGAGTGTCCCCCATTGATGACTTCTAGATTTACACCAAAGTTCTCAGAAAGGAACTTAGAATTTTTTAAAATTGTTAAGATATTTTTTGTAGCTCAACATGTGATTTGTTCCAGAAAATGCTCAGGGTGCAGTTTAGACAATGGCTGTTAGATGTACTGCTCTAAAATGTCTTAGGTTCATTGTGTCTGAACATGGGTTGACTCCAATTTTCCTTTGCTGATTATCTAGTTAGATGATCTGGTCACTGATGAAGGCTGAGTATTGAATTCTGCCATTATTATATTGCAGTCTATCTTTCCCTTAAGATTTATTAGTACCTCTTTTACATATTTATCTAACTACTAAATTTCATATGTTAAATACCACCTCTAATTTTGTGTTACTTTTATGTTGTTGCTGACTCATATGCTTAGTCCTAACATAATACTCAATAAATATTTCCTGAAAGAATGAACAAGAGAATAAACAATGCCATTATAGGAAGACTTTCAAAGTTTTATTTTAAAATAAATTTCATTTTAATTTTATTTATCATTGCCTGTCAATCTAAATTTCATGGCTCAGTCAACCCTAAGTTCAAACTGATATGTATGTAAGTTACTAAGTCCTTAAAATCCTACAGGTTCTGTTTATGTCATGGCTTAATCTTTCTATATTAACTAATATCACTCTTGTGCTGCAACAGAAACTCAAACACTGTCGACAGGCATTTTCAAATGCAATTAATTTGAAATGATGGAGTGAAATATAATAAAAACAAGCAACAATTCTTCCATTTGCAAAAAATAGCCACTATAAGTTTCTCAATCAGTAAAAGCAAAAATGTCAAAATTACTATTCATCTATTGAGTGCTTTATAAAGACAACATAACAGGGCATGGTTTGACAATGATTTGGCAAAACTTGGGGCCTACAAGATGGCACAATGCGTAAATGCATTTGTTGCAAAGGCCTGGAGATCTGAGTCTGAGTCCCCAGAACCCACAGTAGAAGGAAAGAAGTAACATCTGAGAGCTCTCATCTGACCTCCACATATGTGCATAGCAGCACCAGCCTTCCCCCCAACATGATACACACACAATAATCATAAATAACTTCTTAAAAGAAAGCAGTTTAGCAATTCTAAATGCTCAAAAAGTAAATTAGTTTTAGAATAACGTGAATATGTCATTTATATTTCTTTATAATTTTCTATTTATTGTTTATTAATATCAAATGGTATTATAAAAAACAGAAATAGATCAATAATAAAAAAGTATTTCACTCAATAAAATATATCATAGTTTGAAACTAGCTACAGAAGTGCCTTCAAAAGTACACATTTCATAATCCTGTGTTTTACTATAGGAAGAAAAATTCATGGTATTTACATTACTTTTGTTTTTAATTTAAAATACGTTAGTACTCAAATTCAACCTCCTATATATTTATATTTAAATTTAATTTTATTAACTTTTAAATATGATATTTTCTCATTATGATTTAAGATTTTAATCCATTTTAGAGCATCATATTTATGGATCTAAGAAGAAATTCCAATGTTAAACTTATAGTGTGGCAAGCATTTCTTATAGAGCATCCATCAGTACATTTCACGTATACCACAGTGGATTCCATCAGTAGATACCCAGGAAGTAGACTGGAAACGTACATCGACAAACTGGATGATGAAGTGCCTCCTCTGGCCATCTGAGTAGACGGAAAGGACATATTCACCAGGTTTCCCATGGCTCTCGCGTACCAGGAAGTCTCCTTGCTGCCTCAGAAGCTCTTGGGCCTCTATCCTAGGGATTGCTCCATGGTACCAGTCATGTTCCGCCAGGGGCTTCTCACTCATAGAGATCATGTCAGAGAGCTGAACAAATGTTTTAAAAACCAAGTTAGAAAAAAAAAATTGTCCTAATAAAATTCACTGCAAGTAAAAATACTTATTACATATGATCTGATTTCATCAGTCAATTAAAAATTAAATGATAAAACTTACTAAGGAAAATATCCTCTGAAGTACCAGGATCGAAGTCTAGCACAAATACACGTCCTTCAATACTCTCTCTCCATCATGCACGGGAACATTAGCATTTAAGGTTTGCAGTCCTACCCTTATTCCCCTTATCATAAAATCAATCTATTAAACAATATAACAAACGCATCAAACCTGCTTTTTCACTGAATTACTTAACTCTGGACTACTCAGGCTATGCACTGTTCATAATGGTAGGCAGGAATGGGTCTCGGCTCAACCTCGAGCTGTCTGGCTAAGTACTCTCTCTCGCTCCTCCACCTTACTTCTGTTAAGCCACTACTCTGTCACAAGGCTGGCTTTGGTTTTGCAAAGCTATGCAGATAAATCCCTGGGGAAAGAAAATGAGCAGGATACAAACACAACACATGTGGAAACGATTGTAAGTCATGAAACAGAAGAAAAGCAAGTGACCTGCTGTTTTAGGAGGTTACATGCTCATAATACAGAGCAGAAATAAGCAAGGGCTGGCTATGATGCTGTGAAATTCCAGAAATTAGTGGTGATGAAATTGAACATGCTATGGTCACAGTTTCTCTTGTATTCTAGTCATTCACAAGAACTAAACTGCCCTTTACTATTGGAGTATTTCATGGGTAAGGTATAACATTTTACACCAATTATTATGGTTCTCAGAATACAGTATTAAAGATCCCCATGAAAACATACCATAAGTTTGAAAAAATCAGGATCACTAATAAAATTACAGTTTGGATATAAAATGTCCTCCAAAAGCCCTGTGTTGAAGACTTCGTTGATGTCGGATGTCCCTTCTGTATATGTGTTGCTTTTATTGGTTGATGAATAAAGTTGCTGCAGCCAATGGATTAGCAGAGCAAAGTCAGGCAAGAAATTTGAACAGAGATATATAAAAAGAGTAGGCGGAGTCAGAGAGACACCATGTAACCGCCAAAGGTGTATCATGCTGTCACCGGTAAGCCATGCCACTTAGCATTTTAAGAAAAGCTCCTGGTTAGAAAATGCTTACAGACAGGCAACAAAGACAGATTCAGACAAAAATAAACCTCTGAATGAGTCACAGTGTTTTTAAAAAATGTACGTAAGTTTGAGAGAGAGGAAAAGGAGTACAGACAGAAAGAGAAGTACAGACAGTTAAAGATTAAAGGAGCAAAGATAATAAAATAAATATTAAAAAGTAATAGAGTAAAGACAAATAAGTCATGTAAAGATGGAAAATACACAGAGTCTGGATTATGCATTTTACTGTGTTTTCTTTGAATTTTTTGACTGCAGAGAGACATTTGATTCTAGGGGCTGCTAAACTAAACCAACATAAAGATGTCTTGACTTCAAAATTTGAGTCTAAGGATGTTAATTTGGAAAAGAGATTCTGCTTTTGTTTCCACAGAAGATGAGAGCCTGTGGATTCCTTCCAGACTAATGTGGTTTGATGAAACAAGACTCTCCCCCAAAATGTTTTCGCGAGCCCTAAAAATACTTCGCCCAACAAACAGTAGGAAGTAGTTTGGAGAAAACTATGCCCAAATTCCAAAAATGATTGTTTATAAATGTTTGTTTGCATTTAAATTGGGTTGATTATAAGTGACTAATGGTCACAGTCAATTTCTAAAAAGGGGGGGATATGATATATAGAGATGAATACTTTATATTGGTATAGATTTTTGTTCTATTGATACAAATTTACAGTTGATTTTGTTACGCTGTGTATATGTATTTCCGCTCTTGTTTATGGTATTGTGTTCGTGCAGCTCATTTAAAAATGTAATGTATAATTAAAAATTACAGATTAATAGTCATTTATAAAAGTCAAATTTATAGTCATGTTAATTAGGCCTTCTAGATATTTCAGTTACATAAATAACCTTCAACACTTCAAAGACCTACAGAAAATGACATTTAAAGGTTTTAAGAACTTAGACTTTTCTCAACAGTGAAACATGTCTGCTTCTGGCAGCACCAATAACTTCAAGAGGAAGATGGGCATCAAAGAGGCTCCTTATGGAGTTTGATAGCCATTTGGGCAAGAAACTGCTTTTGCCTGGACTACTTGATGGTATGCTATATAAACTGGACATGCAGGACCCACAGAAAAATGACTGCTAAACTTTCCAAAAGATGGGATGGCCCTTCAGGGTTCCTGCTTCAAAGAAGAAACTGACAGACATTATGCAGGACACAGAAAAAAGCAACTGATGAACTTTGCCAGTACAAGACAGAACAGATCTTAAATTTCCTGCTTCATGGAAAAGTCTGCCAGATGCTATGGGCCTGAAAGCTGCATATGGATGCCCCAACATTACAGAAGAGCTTTGGGTGACTGTCCAGACAACAAGAGGTCTCTGTCATTTCTAAAAGTTTAGAAGTAGCTTACAATGCATTTCCTGTTTAATTAAGTAATAGTATATCCTTCTCGGGTCTTTGATAGAGTTGAGGACAAATAGTTATAGTTTTCCTTATTCATGATAAAAGATAAGTTGAACATAAAACTTTAGACTCACAAAGATAGGATAGATGATAGAATATTTTCCTTAACTTGCCAAATAGTAAATGGGTTAAATATTGTAACTATAATTCCTGCTTGATAACTGTTTTGTATAATTTTACTATGTTAAAGTTAAAACCTTCCTTTTCAACTAGACAGAAAAAGGAGAGATGATGTGGAATATCCTTCTGTATATGTATTGCTTTATTGGTTGATGAATAAACCCGATTCAGCCAATGGCTTAGCAGAGTAAAGTCAGACGGAAAATCTGTAGAGAGAGATATAGAAAGAGAGTAGACAGAGTCAGAGAGACGCCATGTAACTACCAAAGGAGTAACATGTTGTCACTAGTAAGCCACAGCCTCATTTCAATACACAGATTAATAGAAATAGGTTAATTTAAGATGTAACAGCTAGCTAGGAATATGCCTAAGCTATTGGCCAAAGTGTTACAATTAATACAGCTTCTGTGTGATTATTTAAGTCTGGGCATCTGGAAACGAATAAGCAGTCTCTGCTTACACTTTTTAATAGGCTCATGGTGAGTGGAGCCAAAGGAAAGAAGATAGACCATGTGGTGGCATAGCCTTGGCAAGTACCCACACACAGACTCCTTCACGGCTGGTAAACTCTGAGCATGTACTTCCTCCAAGAGCTGAAATGAGCCTCTCCCCCTCAGAGTCATTTATCTCACGTACTTTGTAACAGAAAAGGAAAGCTGAGTAAGAAGATAAGTAAAAGGTAAGCACACAAACACCCACATATAAGGATTTATACGCTGATTTTATGAACTTTATGATAACTAGGTAGTAAATGAAAACTAGTTCTGAAGATAGCTTTCACTAATCTGTACCACTGAAGAAGGCTAAAATATGCACGCTCAAGTCCAACATACCATTACCCAAAATTCATCTTACTGGTGACAAAAAGAAAATGTCCCAATCCAATAGGCCTCAAGCATATTTTACATTTTGGTGATTGTTCTTCCATTTATGACACTTAAATTTTAAAAATATGTACATGATGTGACAAATTTTCATAAGTATAGAAGGCCTTTTTTTCTTTTAGTGCCAACAACAATAAAAATAATAATATACAACAAAGGAACCACCAGTAATCAAGTAGAGGGCATTATATTTAAAAGTGAGTGTGAAATCTGTCCAAAGCTCTTTGTGAACTGATACCAAGAGCTGATCCTTTATAAAGAAGGTAATTAGAAAAACTGGATCTTTGTTTTCCATATTTATCACAATATATTTAATATAGTAAATCCAAGTTTGTTTGTTTGTTTATACTATAGTAGGAAACTATTTCTAAGTCTTTCCAACAGCAAAAGTGCCCAAAGATGAGGAATCCATATGATGTCATTCTCAAGGGTCTTCCTGATGGAACAGTGGCAGAAGCAAGGATGCCACAGTCTGTTATCTCTCCCTAGTCAGTCGACTGCCCAGAAAAGCTGGGAGACTATGGAGAACCCAGGAACTCGGAAAGGGATTTGAAATATGAGGTTCAACTAACACCTAAGAAGTTATTGATAGATTTGAAGATGAAGTATGTTTGGGAGAGAAGGGGGAATCATTTTGAGAGAATAACTCAGTTTTGTGCTTTGTATTTGTGCTTAAGAAAACAAATTTGTTTATAAAATGTGCCCCCGTATCAGTGAGAGCACACTGTCACTAGCAGTCACTGGCAGTGTCATGGCACACATTTCAGGTAAAGTGTACGGAGATCACTGCAGTGATCACCATGTAGTCATACTTCAGCAAATACAAGACGGTGACACAATGTGCTTATTTTGAACTTCTGAGCTAACACATGTAAGAACAGATTTGGGTTCAGACAAAAAAAATTATACAAAATTAACCCCAATAAGCCCTTTTTGAAATTTATATATAATACAAGTAATTCAAAACTTGCGACTCAGAGAATAACTTTGATGTTCCTGAATATGACCATGCAGAAGAAATTAGCATATGGCTATACTAACATGAAACGTTTATATTTCCTTGTTACTTTCTTTTTAACACTTTAAAAATGAAAAAAAGTAAATTAAGACCTTAAGAATAATAGGAGACAACTGATTTTTAATATGTGTTAATATTTAATTTTAATTTGTCTTGTTATGAAAATAACAACATTATTCTAGACACAAAGATGAACACTGGAAACTACATGAGAACAATAACATTCCCCTCATGCTGGTGGTGGGAAGTTTGTATCATAATACTGATACTGAACTAATAAACCCTTAAACATAGCTATAATATAGTTTTCAAGAAAAATGCAAACAAATGATTCTATATAAAAAGAAGCACATATATTTCACGTTCAAATTCTCACTCAAAGGTTACCCTCATCCCAAAACAAGGTTTCTCTGTGTAACAGCCCTGACTGTCCTGGAACTCACTTTGTGATTAGGCTGGCCTCAAACTCAAGAGATCTACCAAGTGCTGGGATTAAAGGTGTGCACCACCATGCCTATCTCAAAGGTTCTTAAAATTAAAATAATACTTATGTCAATACAGTAAATGACTTTTAAAGAGACAGGATTTACTAATTTAAACCTTTTGATGTTTTTAAACAAAAATGTTTTGGATTAAACAACAATAATTTGGACCAAGACTTCTAAGAATCTGATTTTAAATAATGTTTTTTCAAAGAGTGCTATAATTGGTGGGACATTATATAGATCAGAGGAGCAACACCAGTTCTCACATGATTGTGACATGGAATCACATGCTCAGCCACACATTAGAGCAATTCTATATAAAGAGAGCCTTGGAGGAAGGGCAATATTCCTGGTATGGTGGGAACAAGTCTCAGTAATTTCAATATGGTTTGAAAGCTTTCTAACTCAAATGAACCATTAAGACTGCCAGGAGCTTGAAGAGGTGCACCTAATACTGCCCAACACCTCTGTCTCTGTCTTCAGAAGCAGGGTCTGGCAAACAGTTCTCAGTGCAAAATGACATTTTGTGAAGATGGAAAAATACTGGATGAGGAACTGGTCCCAGGCTCTGGGATATAAATGATGTATTATTTGGCTCCCTTCATATGCTGAAAAAGCACTTACTGGGAGCTGATATAAGATGTTAAAATGTGACCTTAACCAAACAATGAATAGTAATAGCTGACACATCAGACCCATCCACAGTTGAGCCTAGTTTATCTCAGCTAACTCCCTCATGTTCTTCCTTCCGTCAGGATCCAAATATCCCACTGGAGTGCTATAAAGTTACATGAATAATTTAACCATTCATTAAAAAGCATGCAGACTAACAGCCATGGCAGTTAAAAACACTATTATGATAAATTTCATATATAAATGATATATATATATGCTTTATTTTATCTAAAATTAAACTTTATGTTTTTGGTTGTGAGCCTAGCCTTTAACAGCTGAGCCATCCCTCCAGGCCAAATTTGTCAGATGTGCTGGCAAGTGCTTTGAATCCCAACACTAGGGAGGCAAAGCTCTGTGAGTTCAAGGCCACGCTGGTCTACAACAGGACAGCTATGGCTGTTACACAGAGAAATCCTGTCTTGAAACCCACCACCCCCCTTCAAAAAATAAACAGTGATTCATAATTGCTGATTTCTAAATATTTTAAACAAATATGCTTTCAAATGGAGAAGAATGAACTTAGACCTCCACCCCATCCCACAAATAAAAGCCACTCCCCTTGTTTCAAGGCATATGTGAAGATCTATCTGTGAAGGAAACAAGGATGAGGGTTTGCCATCATCTTGAGCTGGGCAGTGCTTTTTACATATGACATCAAAGTCACAAAATGTAATGTGTTCTTTGTCAAAACTAAAAACTTTGTGTGACACTATCACACACAAGAGAAAGGGAGAGAGAAGGAGGGAGGGAGGGAGGGAGGGAGGGAGGGAGGGAGAGAGAAAGGAAGGAAGGAAGGAAGGAAGGAAGGAAGGAAGGAAGGAAGGAAGAAAGAAAGAAAGAAAGAAAGAAAGAAAGAAAGAAAGAAAGAAAGAAAGAAAGAAAGCAGGCAAACTTACAGGCTAAGAAAAAAACATTTGTTTACTATACTAAGTGTATAACAAATGAAATGTTTCCCCAAAATAATTTGAAACTCATACAACTCAACATCTACAAAAACCAAGCTTAATACTGGGCACAGTTCACTGACAGAGTGCTTATGCAGCACGCAAACCTGGGATCCAGACCATCAAAAAAAGTACACAAAAAAATTTAAGCATGCAAAGATTGTAAATAGAATCATCTATAAAGAATACATAAATAACAAATAGCACATGAAAAATTTATTATTATTAGTCATTAGGAAAATTAAAATAAAAATGACAATGACAAACCAGTCACTAGATGCTTGCAATTACAACAAAAACAGTAAAACAAAACAAAACAAAACAAAACCAGGAAAACAAGCATTGATAATTATGTGAGGAAATAGTGAGTTTCAGACATACATTGTTAGAAATGTAAATATCACTGCCAATGTGAAAAGCAGACTGTTAAAATCTTAAATTTAGAATCCCTGTATGACTCGGTAATTCTACTGCTAGGTATATGACAAAGAAAAATGAACCCATAGTCACAAAGAATGAAAAATTTTCACAGTAAAAAGCCACAAAGTAGACATTATATATAATAATAAAACTAATGTTTTACCAGATGATGAAGAGACAAAATGGTATAATAAATCTAAGTAATGAAATATAAATCTAAGCAATGAAATAGTATTCAGTCTTATAAAGAATTAAAGATTGCCACATAGTATAACATGAATGAACTTTTAAAATATTATAGTAATAGAATGAAACTAAATATAAAAAGCCTATTGCTGTATGACCCTTTGCAGGTGAAAGGCCCAGCAAGAGACCTAGTCATAAGGATATGCAGTATCAGGAGATGAGACAAGTGTGGAACTGAGGCTATCTTCTAATAGCTGTGGAACACCGCTATGGGGACTAACATTCCAGCATCCTGTGGCAATTATGGCTGCACAGCATAGTGAAAATACTGAAACCTCTTGCTGTAATATAAAAACATGAATTTTATGTTCTATTAGGTCTATCACAAGGAAACAAACCACGTGCTAACACGGCAAAAGCTTTTCTATAGGAAAGCATTTAATGTAATCAAGAATTTTTAAATATGACTGTCTTTAAATAGTTATTCACTTTGGATTCCCAGGCTTATCATGTGTAACAATCACATACACATTAAAACTCAAGGCCTTGGTTAGCTTACGCTTGAGTGTAGACAGTGGACAGCACTTAACACCAACGAACAGCTCCAAGTGGTTGTTGAGTCATTTCTTGTTGAAGACATAACTCTAGTGTGCTCCACCATGGCACAGCAAATTGAAATTTCAATGATTAATCTACCAAACAGATTACTTCTACTACTAAATGATCTTCATAATGGAAATACAAACTAATGTGTTTTAAGAACCCACACAGTAATAATTGCTATTATAAAAGTGCTGTTGCCCTAGACACCTGTTTACACTATTCCTCTAGTGAGGTTCCAAACACATGAAAAGCCCCATCATTACATACATGCAGTATAAGAAATCTCTAACATGCTGACCATAGCAACTGCCGTTAGTATATCCCAGCAGGGCCTCACATCATCTCGCATCTCCATTAGAAGTTAGAATGGTATACACAGCCTCCACCACACTATGCTGTGAAACCTGTTCTGTTTTTACCAACATTTCCTGTAGCTACTATCTTACTATGTCTAGTAAACTACGACAGTGGACTATGTATAGAAACTGTGTATAAATGGCTTAATACTACCCAGTTTCCAGCATCCAATGGAGGCCTCAGAATGTCCACAGTAAGAAAGGTCTATTACAAAAAGGCTTTTTCTGTTTTTGTTATAAAAATTTGACTTGGGGTATATTATATGCACCTGTAAACAGAGTCCAGTGCACAGAGAAAGTTGAATCTGCTCTGCTTTTCCTGTCTGTGAGCATAAACACATAACCCTAAAAGAAGCAAGACAGTCATCACTGGGGAAACACACAGTCAATCCTACTTACTGCTGATGAGCCCAGTACCGATTTTGGAGACCTAATTATTCCAGCAATTGAATGACGAATAGATTCAAATTTGGATAGCCTCTCCTTTCGTTCCTAAAAGGAGTAAGAAGCAGCCATTAGCAGTAGCAAACCATTGAGTGTTTACATTTTAACATTTAAGTATTTTTTAATAGCTTAGCTAACTATGTCAAATATAAAATTCCTGGAATAACGAATGCATGTAAAATTATAGCATTTTGCTCTTCTGGTCCCTCAATAAATGTCTTGATTTGGAAAAAGAACTATATAAGTCATTTAATTGTGAATCCCGTGTAAGCCAAGTTAAGCCTCCAAAAACCTCACTGATGGTGAGGGTCATGAAGGCAGTGACCAAGGGAGGGAGAGCAGGTAAACAGTTAGGAAGGGGCAGCAGAACCCTCTCAGCAGCCAGTCAGCCTGTACTTCTCCTTCCAGGTATATTTCTGAATATCACACATCACAGCAGAGAAACACCTTCTAAATTTTCAGATCTTCAGATCAACTTTACCACTGCAAGTGAATGGAGAGTGAGGATAGAAAATGAGACTTAAAAGGAGAAGGAAAAAAGGAGGTATAGAGAAGAAAGGCTGGAAAGAGGGAGAACTGGCCTGTAGCCCGGGACTGGGTCACGTTCCAGCTGCTGGCCAGCAGCAGACAGAGAACAAGAGCACTGGCCATAGGCTGCAGCATCTCTACCGTTTCCTACCAGCAGGGAAGCTCAGTGCTAGCGTTCACTCCTGTCTGTCCCCAGAATCCATTATTAGTTTCTCAACTCCAGCGTGACCCTGTCCACCTGCCCACCCTACTGTTTATACTTCTTCTAAGACCAGCCAGAAAATAGTTCTAACTAGTGTACAAACATATGAACATCAATCAATGGAAACAACTTAGCATAATCTTCTAATAGAACAGGGAATTTCTCCTTTTTCAACATTACTGCACTAACTTAGGATCTCATAAAATCACTATTTGTAGATAAATATGATCACATATGAAACTGAAAAAAACCTTGCTTAGACTTACAAGGGACTAGAAGTTGGTACTTTGAACATATGCATAGTTAATATACTTCTAGAGAAGCACATCATTCCCACCATACAAATGGTGATCCCTTGGGAATGTGGGGAGTTGTTTGGTAGCTTTAACCCAAATGAGATGCACATTTAAACAGATTAGATAGATAGATAGATAGATAGATAGATAGATAGATAGATAGATAGATACATACATACATACATACATACATACATACATACACAGATATAGAGATAGAGATGCTAGAAGGCCTGAGCGAAAGAGCACTGAAACACAAGAATATAGTGACCTTGGCAAAGCATGCCTGTCCTCCTCATCCTTAAATTGTTTGTATGTGTATGACTTGTTAACTCTTAAATCTATTTCTGATGCTTCAGAAGTCTGAAAAAGTAAACCTGATTTAAAAAGAAATAAGAAAAAAAAGAAACTATATAGCCAGGACTTAAGGCAGACTGCTGGTGAGCCAAGCAGGCATGCTGTGTGCAGGACCGAGCAGAGCACACACGCTGAAGAACAAGGCAGAGGCTGGGCCTTCCACTCTCCAAAGAAACTGCGCTTTCTCCCCTTCCTTTCTGGATCTGCTCTGCGTAGCTGGAGAAGGCACCTAGTTGCTGCATCCACTGACAGAAAGATGACATGAAAGTGCTAACGTCACCTGTATGGTGGTGACATCGTCACAGGAAAGCAGCAAGCACTTCTACTGCGCCTGCACACTTTTCCTAGGGTGGCTTTCTTCACTGGCTTACTAGAGGAAGCGTTATTCCAGTGTGAGAGTACTCATAAGATACAACTGAAAAGTACACTGAGAAATCAGAACCCAAAACTATAATTTTCTCCAAATAAAGGTAAAAAAAACAATTCAGGGGAGAATTTTAAGAAGAAAAAGCATTCTCAATGTATGAAATGACTAAATGTACTCATATGGTAAACTGGGATGTCCACAGCATAACTGGGCATCCCACCCTAGAAAAGAAAACCTTTCACTAAAACTCTGCAACATTTCCTCAAGAGGGTAATACCAGAATTATACCACAGTTTAGAACTGCATGATAAATAAGTACAGGTGTGAGAAGAAACTGACTTCCAAGCCCACTTTCCTGACATTAAGTCACAAAGTACAAGAGCACAACTGGCAAACGCAGGCTTTCTAAAATTTAAAGGCACTATTTAGATAGACTGATCTGAAAATATATCAGTAATCACAGTAATACCATCTTATGATTTAAGGATGAGTAATCAAAATGCAAATGGGATTTACAAAGTATCCTAGCCAGTTACTGCTTACTGGGTGCCCATATTTCTAAGAGTAAAACATCAAATTCATTTGCTATGTCTTGTCTATTTAAGATTCAATATCAGCTTTAAATGAAAGTCTACCTAATAACTAATAACTAATAAAATCAGACTGTCCTGAATTTGACAGCTGATTTTCCTAGGCAAGAATTAAATGACTATCTAAAAGAAAATAAAGATGGATGCTCTCTTTATTTCCAGAGTGAAGTGTGCCTGCGCCGGGCTGCTGGTGGGGGCAGTGAGTTCATCCACCTCCAGTGAGGACAAGATATGAAGTTTGCACAGGGGGCAGATCATCTGGCAAAGTGACAGCTCCTCCCAGTGGAGGGAGGCAGGAAAACAGGAGAGCACGAGACAGCACCTCATGTTACCAAGATTCCGATGAGAAAAAAAACAGCCTTGACAGCTAAGTTCCACATGCAGAATGAGTTTCACACCTCGTTTAAGAATAGTTTTTAATAGTGTGAAATTAAATAAGTAAATTAATCAGATCTTGATGAGACATCCCTCCCTCTCCTCCCACCCACGTTTCACTGTTGACTTTATGTCAAAGAATTAAAAGGCTACTTATAGAAATTAAAGCTAAGAGGTTACCTTTTAAATCAATCACCATAGAAACAATGCCTAACTACATCTATAAATCTATATGCACACACATATAAAACTAGACCATTTCATATTAACCATAAATTTATCTGTTATCACCCATTATTGATATCTTCAGCCTCTATAGGAAACAACACCTAAATTCCCTAAAGCTTAGTCTTAACTTTCTGGGTTTCATGTGACTCAAATTCTGCAGCAGGAGTGTCCTCTGCGGCCTGCTGAAGCGTGAGCAGAAGCACAAAGGGCAAGAATCACCGACTGGCAGAAATCAGAGGCTACTGCAAACGGCTACCTTGTTGCTGCAAAGAGCTATGACAACACTCACTAAACCACACAGCCGTTCTCCAGCAAGGCCCTCGGAGAAGGGCTATGGTGGGAAACAGAAGGCTCTTCTACTGAAAGGGACGAAGACTGCACATCTGGCCAAATGACTAGGCTGTTCTCGGCCTCCCCAGCAGTTGGAGGAAGGCTCAAGACTAGAAAACTCCTGCTACTGAGACCTCTGCCTGTGACTGTGATGCACTGCACGGTCCAATACAGCGCAAGAGTATCAGTGCCAGACGCTGCCCACGTAGGTCAGTACTATTTTATGCCCAGAGGTCCTCACACAGGCGCTGCCCACGAAGGTCAGTCCTATTCCACACCCAGGGGCCCTCACACAGGCACTGCCCACAAAGGTCAGTCCTATTCCATACCCAGGGGCCCTCACACAGGCGCTGCCCACGAATGTCAGCCCTATTCCATACAGACGCTGCCCACGAATGTCAGTCCTATTCCGTGTCCAGTGGTCCTCACACAGGCGCTGCCCACGAAGGACAGTCCTATTCCTTGCCCAGGGGCCCTCACACAGGCATGAGGGGAGGAGTCAACTTTCAAGTGGCTATGGGGATACATTTTTTGTTCATAATGTGTCATTAAAACAGTAACTCAATGCTATTTCCTGCAGACTTCTGTAAACAAGCCCAATCTCATGACATTCTTTGAAGAAACAACCTGCCCTAGAGGAACAGTCAAACCAGGAGCTGAAGAATCAAGAGAAAGATGACAGCTACACTCAGAACGCTAGGCTGAGAGCCAAAATTTTTAGGGACTTCTTAAGCAAAGCAGACATGAAATTTGCAGGGATGTTGCTGAGAAATACCTGCGAGGACATTACACCACAGAGAAGACTGCCCGAGAAAGTCAATGCTGACAATGACCATAAGTACAGGAAACACCTTAAATATCAGCACGTCCCTTTTGAAAAGGAATGCACTTACGCATAAGCAAATGACTTGATCTTTTAAAAGAAATACACTTACACATAAACAAATAACTCGATCTTATGCAGATCTTGATTTTTCTCTGAAGAATGAAAAATAGATGATTTTGTTTCAACAGGATTTAGAATTTAAGTATTAAAAGAGTTTCAGGATGACTTGTTTGAGCAATTGGTTTACACTGAAGGTGCTGAGGCACTCAGTGCCCAGTCACCAAGTTGAGAATGCCATATTGTCCTCTGATGTTTGCATATTAAGGATATTTATTAAAAGAAACACAGCCAACTTGATAAAGTCAAGTATCTTCATACCCACCAAAAACTAAATTAAGCCACAAATGTATAAAAGGAAAGTGTGATGATTTTAAAAAGATATCACTGTAAAAGAGCAATGCTCGGGGCACTGGGAGCTAAGCTGTAAAATGTTAAGATCATTTTTCTTACTTTCCTAAGTCTAAGCCAGCTGCACAAGAGGATGCCCCTGTGTAAGCCAGAGTGAAGAAGGTGGCTCTAACAGGCTCCCCTCCTACTTAACACCCAGATACAGTTCAAGCTCTACAGTGCTTTTCCTAAATGTGTAATCAAAATCCCTAATAATACTTCTCCTCCTCCTCCTCTTCTTCTCCTTCTTCTGACTATTATATTTAGAGCAAATTTAGATAGACAGTAAGGTAGACACACAGAATGAAGAAGCAGATTGCCATATTGCTCGCAGACTCACCACATCAACTGACTTAGGCCAGGTGACTGCACTGTCACTCAGAGTCCACAGCTGGGATGAGGGGAGCGCTTCTCTGGGGTACTCTGAGTTTTCAGCACCGCAGTATCAAACAGGAATGTGACTGCCAGAAACTCTGTGCTTGGCACATTCACTCCTCCTCCC